CCCTTTCGTGTTCGTGTATCCGGCCAAATTCCAATAACTCATAAGCTTCTTTGAAAGTCTTTCTCTTGATTGATCTATTGGATGTTGAATCTACTGCAGATCGGTAGAATGGAAGTAACTCGGAGTAAAAATATTGGTCGTCCCTTTGTGATACCGTGACTCGAACACTCCCCCAAGCCCAGTGAAAGCTCTCTAAGTCGAATTTTTGGAAGATGGATATATCGTGTTCAAGATCGGAGAGAATGAATAATGAGATAAGAATTAATTAAGAAAATAGTCAAGAATCCCGATTTTACTAATTAAACTTTATTTATATTCAATTCATATTTTGGTTCAATTGTCTTCGCCTGAATAAATTAATGATTTCATAGAAGTACAAAATATATTACGCCCACGTTTGATAGAAATTAAAATCTAGATTTTAATCTAAATCAAAATCAACAATTATTTGACAAACAACTTTTCAACCTCACATTTCATCAATTTTGCATCAAAATCAGCTAAAAACTAATTTTAATCATCACCAAACAAGAGCGGAATTGGAAAAATTTTAAGGGATTAAATCCCACATCGGTTAAATACCGAAATATTAACAACATGAAAGGGTTCAGACTATTCCACTTTTTTATTCATGGCTTTTCCATTTTTATTTTTTTTTTAATCTTTTTGTGCGTAAGAAAGTAGTAATTTCTCAAACTTATCACATTTTTTAATTTTCATACCTCGAAAATGTCTGGATTATTAGTTTTTGAAGCCATCCTAACTGGTTTTGGAGTTCTTTTCTATAGTTTGAATGCAAGGAAAAAGAATAAAGAAAATGAGGTGAAAGATGTCAAGAAAACTCATATTTTAAATAGTTTAAAAGTATATTAATTTTGTCTATTTTCAGAATATAAAAAAATAAAGAAATTTTTAAACCATAAACATGTTTTTTTTTAATTAAAATAGCTCTTTTTTTTTTTTTTCTTTTTTTGATGAAATAAACTTCAAGAATGTGTGGCAGAGGCAGAAAAATATTCAGGCATCAAATATCTATTCATGGATTCCAAGCCTTGCAACCAAGGTGTGAAATCCCATGTAAAAGTTAAATGAAAAAAAAAAAAGAAGAAGAAGAAGAAGCAAGTTTTCAATTAGATTTGGATAGTTTACAGAGGAAGATCAAGTTTATGGCTCCCTCCTCCTCCTTAGTCCTTCCTCGTTTATTTTATTTTTTCGATAATGTAAAATAGTCGAGTATCTTGTCTCCTAGTTTTGCATAATTCTTAAGATTTTTCTTTCTTTCCGTTTTCTTTTTTTTTTGTAGAGCTATGAATGATTGGGTTTTCATTGTAAATTTATTATCCATATTTGTGTTAATATATTGGTTAGGAAATCGTTATGAATTTCAAAAGAGAACCATAGCCGAATAGGTTCTTGAAAAGACATTAGTTTCCTTCTGTCCATTCCAATCCGCACAACTATTTTTTGTGTAATCGAAATAACAAAAGCAAAATGGTATTTGTACTTCATGGAGCGTGAACTAGTGGGCGGACTCAAGAATTTAGTTAGACTGAAACAATGATGAATCGACATGTTATCAGTGCTTGCACGTCAGAGATGTCGTGTGACGTATTCTCTTTTTTCATCTACAGCCGGACACATTGACACTACGTCAAAATTTAACATAGCAAACAACATTGCAAAAATCCAATAAAAAGTTAGCAAGACAACAACATTTGACAATAAGATAAAAAGGCAACCAGTTGAGTAATAAGCGGACAAGACAACAATAATTCAACTATTTCTTTTAATATAAATTATTATCAATACATCAAAAAATAGTAACAATAAGCATAGTTTTTGCTAAATATGTCAGCGTGTAACCTAATGACTTGAAATCAACGTGAAGCAACTGTAAATCTAGCAGTGAGCAATCAACAATCAAATTAAAAGATGACGTACTAAGAAAATCCATAGTTGTTAAAACAATAAGATTAAATGTAAATTCATTTCCTTATATCAACTTTGATATTCCCTTTGTTTTCAAAAAATTGTCGGCGAAAAATGTATTTTTTTAAAATTGTCCAATGATATGTTTTCACGTAATACAATGTAAACAATGATGTAAAAGATAATACACACATAATATTATTGTTATTATAAAGCAAAATATAACCATTTCAAACCCTAGGTTTTAACTTGGAGCTTCTTCAATCTTCTTCTTTTACATATAATTATACAAAAATATTAAAAAAATAAAGTGTGGCGAAATAATTTTTGGAGATGCTTCTTCTTCTTCAAAAATTAAAAAATATAAAAAAAAATAGCATAAATTAAATCATAAGTTCATAAGTTAATGTGTATTCAAATTTAAAATTTAATTTAGCAATTAAACTATTAAAAAATCTAAAATTCCCCCCTTTTGTAAATTCGATTGAAAACCTGTATAAATTTGATTATTAAAATTTTAATTGAAGACAATTTGTGCCTTGTATAAAAGTTTGAACCAATTTATTATTTTGGATAATATTTTTTATTCTTTATTTTTGCAAAAACATTTTTATCAAAATATTAAATTTATGAAAATAAGTGTTTTTAATCATAATATAAGAAAAATCTTACTTGAAAAAGAAACTGTTCTTAAATAAATTTCCTGAAATTTGGGGTCTTAGGGCCTTGTATGTCTGTCTCATTTCTCTATAGGTTGAGTAAGCTCTGTATCAGAACTACTTATGGAATCAAGAGGTCAAACTACAACCCCAACTGGCAACGAGACAATATCGAGATGCCAAACCTTCCCAGAAATGTGAGCTCTTGTGGAAGATCAGAGACGTGCTGCCTATTGCTACATTGTCCACAATTATGAATTCTTCAAACAAAAAATTTTGCTCGACTTCCAAACATTTAACATACATAACCTCCAAAAAAGGAAAAAAAAATTAAGTACAAGTTTACGAGGTTTTCTACATCATAACATACTGTAGCTTGAAATTAAATACAAATTATAGCTTCCCAGAAAAAAAAA